ATTATATTTAATTTAGTTATTAAGAATAATTAATAATTATAGATATTAAATAAAATAGTTAAAATTTTTTATTTATAAATTTCAAATTAATTTATAAATTAATGTTTTTAAATACTTTAACTAATTAGTATAAATTAATAAAATCAAATAAATTATACACAATTATAATATTTATGTGTAGTTTTAATATTTATTTGTGTGTCCATGTCCACATATATATTCCTTTTATTTCTTAAAAAATAATATTTTTATTTAGAATTTATTTTAAAATAATAATTAATTTTTATTTTAAAAAATAAATATATTTATTTTTAAATTCTTAATTTAAAAATAAAATTAAAAAATCTATTATTTCATATTAAAAAGAGAGTTAGCGGGAAGTAAACAGTTTTTTTTTTTTTTAATTTAATCGTACTAATATGCAATGATTAGAACATATTTTAAACACGTCAGCATTTCTATCTTTCTTACCCATTTTTGTTTTTTTAAGTGCAGAATTTGGGACAAGGGGAATGGTTTTTTAAATAGTTTGTCTCGTAAATTATTTAAAATTATTTAAGCTTTTTTTAAAAATAATATAAAAATAAAATTAAAGACATTTAAATAATTTTACAAAATAAACTATATACAACTTTTTCAAAATATAAATACTTCTAATTCAGTTAAATCAGCGAAAATTTTACGGAGAGCATGGTTCTGGTCTATCTAACTTCGTCTTTACACTCCATGTCTCATGAGATCACAAGTCTGCAAATTGCAATAGCAAGATTTGGCTTCATCACCTGGAAATGGAATCACTCACTCCAGGCAGCTCTGGTTGATATGATAAACAAGGCAACTCTTGCATAAAAATACATTCAATACATCAAATGGCTGAAAAAGCCTCAATCCATACAACACCGATGATGCTTTCAAAAACACCAAAAGAATACAAAGAAGGTGGGGGGGGTGGGGTGGGAAGAATGATTTATAAACAGGGTATCTCAAACCTTTGATAAGTTAAAAAAAAAAGGCAAGAAAAGTTAGCGCTCAAATTCAGTGTTAAAAACTTAATCAAGCCAACGTGTAACTCCATCTTCTCCAACAGCTGCCAGAATCTCAATGCGGACATCTAAAACAGCCTGCAATTACCAGCAATTGGAGTGACTCAAAATAGAGAGGATTATGGTTGGAATAAGGAAAATGAGCAATCAAAAAATAGTAAATGCATATATGAGAATATCTCTATTGATCACAAATTCCATAATGTCCTTTTGCATTGAGGTTAACAGCAGACTATTGACCATGTAAACTCAACTAATTGCTATCTGCAAGCAATAAAACAGTCACACAATATAGCAGGCATATGAATACTTAGCCACTTAGGAATGCGTACAGGAACCTGGGTATGCCCAGTGAGTAGTGTACTGCCCTCGGGGGTTTTTGACATATGATCTTTTAGGAAAAAAAAAAGGAGGAAAGCCCCTTGATGCCCAAAAATGTTCATTATTGCAATCCAATAGTAGTTGATGATGCCATCCATGGGGGTAAAATAAAACTTACCGAAGAATTCCTACAATTTACCAGCCTACATTCCTCCAGGGAACCTTCCAACATCCAACTCTCCCAAACATCAAAGCTGTGACTGGCAAATACGAATTCCATTCTTCTGTTAATCTGTCACAAATTCAAGGTTGGATGTCATAAAATCATACTATTCCCATTAAATTCCTTTGACTTATAATTTACCATCAAAAGTGTCCAACAACTGTGCCATGAAACTCACTCCAGGTAACAAACAGAAAAAAAAAAAAAAAGAGGGGAAAAATAGTCTCTGTGTCTGTGTGTGTGTGTGTGTGAGAGAGAGAGAGAGAGCAATTAGTAATGCCTAAAAGATATATCAGTAGGTTGATGCTTCAAAAACACTCCCAACTAATTAATGAAAAAAGAAACATTACCTGCAATAGCTTCCCCCCAGCAGCAAAAGAACGCAAACCAATAGTGTCCTGAAGAAATGCATCCATAAAATTACCGATGTTAGTTATCCAATTCAAATGATGCACGCCACAACAGGCTTCAAGCAGAAACAGAAACTTGGGCTCAACAAACCTCGGTTCTATAAACAACAAGGAACTGGGCTGCAGGATCTCGTTTAGTTACATTTGACATGGTATCTAGGAACCAACCACCACCTTTAGCTCTTTGCCTGGAGACATGAAGTGCTGGGCGATCTCTTGCGTATAAAGCAATAACATACCCATCTTTCGGCAGATCACCAGACCGCCCAACCAGCTTCTTGCTTGTTACTAGAAGCGGGTCAGAAGTTGATTCTTGCACCATTTCTTTTGGTGTTTTCCTATATCTAGAGTCCTCTGGGGACCGTGATTCAGAACTTAATGCTTGATCAGTGCCACTCATAGCTGTATCATCTTCTCGCTGAGAAGTACTCTCTCTCTCTAATGCCATGTGTGCATCTGATTTCTGCAATGATTTTTGACGGGCATGCCTCTTTTTGGCCTTTCTACCTGATCTGCTGGGTCTTCCTTCAGATTTTGATGCAGTACTGTGAGATAAACCAGAACCCTGATTCTGGCTAGGAGATTCCTTTAACTGAGTGGAACCCTTACTCTGGGAGACTTCTGGACTCAATTGAATATCATCTGTCAATTGCTTACCACTGGATCCTTGAAGAGCACTTTCTTTGTATTGACTAGCAGCCTGTTCTTTCTCAACACCTATTTCATTCTCCTCCTCATCCTCATCAGAAATGGCATCATCAGGAATAACCCCTTCAAAGAACCATGTTTGCAACACAGATATGGCTTTCTCCCTAATCTCCATCCACACTTCTTCACTATAATCTGCACTCCGTGGAAGTATCAACACATTGGGCATCTCCTTCACCTGAAGTAAAGTCATTGTGAAAATTAGATTCGTATATGTCAGACCTTCTAACCTGAACAGAGAGACCCCAACATTCTCACAAACCAGGATAATAAACAAAACTTCTCTAAAAAAGGAAAGAGTAAATAAAAGTGAAGCTCTGAAGAATGTGGCAATAAATTAAAACACAAGCATGTATGATTTTAGAGATTTTGACTACCATCCTTAGAGAAAAGTTAGTCATTGTTTAAATTGATCGTAACCTAAAAATTTTTATCATACCCATGCTTCCATCCACTGTGGCCCTTCAGCTCCATCCAGGGCACAGCCAGCTAGACTGCCATCAATCAAAAGCTGCTTCACAACACAATCATCTAACAGCTGGCTACTACCCGTATTAACAAGAAATGCCCCTGTATTTAATTTAAATACAAACAATAGTTCCATATAGAAGCAAATTGCAGCAATCAGAGAAAAAATATATATATTCAAAGAAAAATCAGACATGTAACCATACCAGGTTTTACATGCTGCAAACTTTCTGCATTGATAATCTGACAAGTTTCATTTGTTAGGGCACAATGAAGAGAAATAAGGTCACTCGCAGCTAATAGATCATTAAGGGTATCCATTCGACGGGCAGCTGAAGGGAAGGTTATTGAAGGCCTGCTAATTTTTCCATTTTCCTGCATAAATCACATTGCTTTGTGATAACTTCAACCAAAGACACGTTGAGGCTTAAACATCAGAACATGCTAATTCCGAAACCACCAATGTAGAACCAACCTAGCCACTGAAACTTAAAGTTGCAAAAAGATAGAAGTCGACATTATGGAATTCCTACCTGTTGAACATCAAAGTAGAGCACGCTTATCTTGAATGCCAAGCTCCTGGTAGCCAGAGACCGAGCAGAAGCAGATCTACCAATAATCCCCAATACCAGCCCCCTACACCGCCTCATCCCTCGACAAAGCGGCTGCACCGAACCGAGCCATCCAGAAGCCGAAAGCGCGTGCCGCGAGAGCAAATGCGTGCGGCGAAGCAAGCCAAGTAAGAGCGCCATGACTGTATCGGCGATCTCCTCGGCCCTCGAGACATCGACGTGTACAAGGCGCAGGCCAAGGTCAGTCGCCAAGGAGGAATCAACCGCGCGGTCAGACGAGCCAAGACACAGGATAAGCTGGTAAGGACGAAGGCGGCGCTGGGCAGCGCGAGGGAGGTAAGCGAGAGAGTGAAGGAGAACGGCGGCGGCAGCCTCGATCTTGCCGTCGGATAAGCAGCTGAGAGGCACGTGCTCGACGATAGCAACGCCGTCGAGAGAGTCTTGCTCGAGGACACAATCTTCGACGCAGTTGAGGGTGACGACTAAGGGGAGAGGCGTAGGCTTGCTACGACGGTGAGACATTGCGGCGGAAGATCTGATTCTGGTGGTTGCGCTCATCATCGGATTCGGTGTCGTTGGATGAGCATGTGCAGGAGTGTGATGATGGTGGTTAGTGGTTGGTTAGGGTTTAGGAATGGAAATTTAGGAATTTAGAGGGCCTAGTGGAAAAGGGGAGTATATGTATATACATATATAATCAGAATGGAATTGGATTGGAGGCATCTTCTACGGTTTAGATTCTGAAGATGCGTCGTGTTGTTGTTCCCACTTCCTAAGCTTGAGGAGATTTTCCTTCAAATTCAGAATTACAATGAGGTCCATTGCCCACGCATCCCCAAAGTCTTCCTTGCTTACTCAATCAAACATTCAAACTCTATTCCGCACCTAGCTTACATGACTATTTGGTTGTAAACTCTTAAGATGTACCCCAAGATTAAGTGTTAGTGTTAGGTTGAAATTTCCTTTTTCAGAATTTTTTTGATCTATACCTTAGAGTATAAAAGTTAATGGTATTTTTTTCATAATAAATTTATATAAAAATAAATATTAATTTTAATATTGATATTATGTAAATAAATTTAATTAAATAATTAATAAATTATATTTTATTTTTTATTTTTTTAAAAAAATTTTAATATGTACCCTTAAAAATATAAATTAAGAAAATCCTTTAAATTTGCACTTACTAAAAAACAAAACTCCATTCCAAAAATGCCATTGACCAAATCGAAAGAAATTAATAGAGGTGGGGAACAAACTGATTTTAAAATATGTTAATTGTTAAAAATAAAAGTACAATAATGTCCAATATTTTGTAGGGTATGGTAAGTACTTGGGTACAACAGGGCCTACTTCTTGAGCTTTACTATGATAGAGGGCAAACTATTTATGTCGGGACTATAGCATTTATGGCCTCTAACGGTCAGTTCTCTATCTTGTTCTTTTTTTCCTGTTTTCTTTTTTCTTTGGGACATGACAATTTTGGAGAAAGGGGATGGGTTACTACCACAACTATGAGCTTGAGTTGAACTCAAGACTTTAGAGCACCTAGCTCTCAAGCTATTCGCCCCAAAAAAGGCTCTTTAAGTTTAGGCAAAGAACCATCGGGCACTAACGAGGGGTTGGATCAAGTGGTAAGCAGCTTATTCCAGTTTAAGCAAGATTTCGAGTTCGAGTCATTGTGTATGCAGCAGCCCCCGCTGGGAGACTCACCCACCATTTCCAGGTGCGCGACGCGGGTCGGGTCCGGATTAGTCTGGACGACTCGGATACCAAGCGAGAAACCAAAAAAAAAAAAAAACCCATCAGGCTTTAAGCAAAAAATAATAATAATAATAAGTCAACAATTTGATTTGACTTTGTGTCCAACACAAGAAGGAACTTTTATTAGTCTCAAAAAAATGCAGAGCGCACGGCTTGCAACCAATGAATTGAATGGAAGAATCACTCTAGGTTGAAATTCAATGTAAAAAATATACCACTAGGTTTCCTAACAAAACACAAATTTTCTACATGATATGTAACGGTACATACAATCTCAAGGAAGAAGGCTCACATCGCAGAGCAAGTCTTATATCTCCTTCAGGCTCATCGAATGTTTCAAATTTGTGGCACTTTCTTGTCTTTGAAAGCTAAGCTAGTTCTTCTAACCTTCCACTTGAAACAGCATCCCAAGGAAATAGGGAAAGACTTGCAGCAGATCTTCTAAGAGTTTTTAACATGAAAAAGAAAAAACTATACAACCCAAACAACCAACCTCTTTAAGTCATGTTTTTGAGATTTGGAATACCATCTTGTTCTTCCCATACTTTAGCACCAGCCTATCCTAAAATCTTCCAGCTTTCTATCAAAATCCCGAAAGATATCCTTATTCAACCAGAGCAAACAAATATTCAGGTGTAAAGATAAAGTTCCAGATCAGAGAAACCTTCTTCTAAAATTCCTGGTAGTTGCTTGATACGACCGCATTAACAATCCAACTCCAACTCCAATCCCAAGGCACATCCCGAGGCCAATCCCAACACCAACTCTAACGCCAGCGTTAAACCATGAAAGTTGGCCGTCCTCGCCAGCATACATTTCTTCTGAGTAGTAACCGCGTCCAATTTTCTCATCCAATTGGTAATCACCAACATCACCTTCTGTAAGCTGCACAACCCCAAAAAATTGGTTACATCACAATCAAATTAAGAGCAACTAAACATGATAAAACATGGAAGTCCAGGCAAGGCCATGTACTTCCTATCAGTTCTATAGATCAATTGGTATAGTGACATTGAATAAGGTTGACATTAAAGCTATAATGAACATAAAAATTCATTCATCACATAGCCTGTATGCTCTAAACCATTCCATCATAGATCAGGGTGCTAAGCTATTGATTTTTACATTCAAAATTCAGATAAATAGGAATATCATATCAATTGTTGCATCCATAATTAGTAATGTGCTACTCATCCTTCTACAAAGCTTGAATCTAACATTCATATTATAACTAAATGGTAAGTGGCAATATTAAAAGATTGTCATGTTACCTGCAATTTCCGGGGTCGAAGTACGCTCTTACTCCCTCCACCACCACCAGCCTTATTCTCCTTTCCAATCTCCTCATCCTCCGGTATTGCATCCAACATCCCAACATGCCTCAACCCACCTTTCCTCCTCGGACTCGCATGCAGCGTCTTTGTCAATATCACAGGCTCGCCCGCGGAACACCCAGCAATATACACCTCAATCCCCGGAGCGGATACCCCCATCTTCGGGAGAAAGAAGGCCGAATTCCCCGACTCCATCGCCGCCGTTGCCATATAACAATCCATACTCCACTCTCCCTCCATCCTCTCCAAAGACCCACACAACAAAACAATCTTCTCTTTCTCATACACCTCAAACTCCACTCCCCCGGTGACCCGCACGCTATCAGTACTCAAATACGTGACCTCCGAGGCTTCCTTATTGATACGGTCGCGGCGTAGAGTGAGGGAGGCAGCCTCAGAAGCAGGAACCCTGGACCCATTAATTTCGAGGGACACCCCAATCTCCCGATGGACGTGGGAGAGCGTGAGGTGGTCCGGTACGCTTCCGATGACGGACGGCGCTATGCGAACGTAAAACAGCCGGATTTCGAACCACAAGGACGAATTATTCATTATGTTATACGAATTCGAGGTCTTTGAAAAGGGAATTGGCGGTGGATCTTGGTGTTGCGGATCCATGACGATCAAAAACAGACTGGAATTGGGGAAAAAAGCAAAAAAATTGGGGACCAAACAACCACTTCTCCTCGGAGAATTCAGGCATTAACATAAGTTTTTTTGACACTGAGGAATTTGCGTGGGATACCGAGTTCTTTGGGGGAAATTTTCCATTTTAGGGAGCTCGACGGCGAAGACACGTGAGGGTCACGGGTTTTCCTGATTGAGTAAAATTGATGGGCCCACATTGTAGAAAATAATATCTTCGAAAACTTTTTGGGCCTACCTTCCTCAGACAAAATTTTTTTGGGCCTACCAAATACAAATTAACCCATTCGTAATCGAATCCATGGGATTTTCGGCCACCCAATCTATTATTATGGGTTCAACCCACATCAATACTTTTTTTAAAAAAACCCACATTCAATGTTGTGGGCTTTTTGGCCGAAAAATATATGGGTACTTGAAGTACAAATTAGAACTGAAAATTTCTCAAAATACTCCGTCCGTATCAAAGTTGTTATTTTTTTATTTTAAATTTGTTATAAATTAATTGTTATTTATTTATTTTTTAGAGTATATATATATGTTTCAACTTTGATACTATTATTATTTATTTATTTTGATTTATTATCTTATCACAAAAGTTTCATTTTATATTTTAACTTTTTTCTAAGAGTATTATAAGAAAACATATAAATTGTTCCCAAAATCTTTAATTTGAAGAAAAAGTTTAAAAATAACAGTTATTTTGAGAAAAAGAGAAAGTTTTTAGTTTAAAAGAATGAAAAGCAAAAGAAAAAAAAAATAAAGGTGGTTATTTTTATCTAGTACAAATCTCAAGTGCTTATATGTATATTGTGAAATTTTAGATCTTTACATGCAAGCCACAAATATATTATATGCTTATTTTAAAATCTTAATCATATATTTTGATAAAAGGGAATGAAAGAGAGAGAAAAAATTTTTAATCAATTAAATTATATTATTTTAAAAACATTATAATTTAATTGATCCTCAACCTAAATATACTATAAATTTTTATGAGCATCAACCCAAATGACTTGTAATTTTTCAAAATACTTCTCTATATTAAAAGAAAATTGTGTTTCTACCTTCCCAAGAAAAGGCTTTTCTAAAAAGCAAGCTCAAGATAAGCTTAAAAAAGGTTTTGTTTTAAGGATGATAATCACCAATCGAATATTTCATTAACTTTGTTTTCAAAATATCGTTGACTTATGTGGTCTATTGCTTGGAGGTTCTAGCTTTCAAAACTAGATTTGGCTAACGTATGTTTGTTTAATATATTTTTTATCTAAATTCATGATAGATTAGCTCTTCACACATTTATTCTTTAATTTATATAGATTGAATATGCCTTTAATCATCCTAACCCACACAAT